AATCTGCATACTTGAAAACTGCCGAACATTTCGGAGAGTTGAGCTAACTGGGAAAAAGAGGAGCCGGGGGGGGGGAAGATTGTAGCCTTTAAATTTTTCGACTAAAAGTAAAACTAAGTGTTCATAAACAAATCTCACTGAACATCAAAATTAATTATCTCTGCGAAATATCGCAAATGTTATTGCGCAATACATGCATCGTGATTCTTCCTTACGTGATATTTCACTATCGGTATCAACAGCTGCCGGTATTCGGAGAATAAAGAACTAAATAAAGGAAAAGAAAGAGACTTACTAATCTGGGGGATTTTTCATTCTAATTTTGAACAGACTGCGTTAAATTTCCGGAATAGAATCTTTCTTCACTTGGGTTGGTAGACTGTAGAACTTTTAATCCTATTCAATCCAGATTGGAAAGTGACAAAAAAAAAAAATCTGTTGATTGTTTTGCAGCGAACTGTAATGGTTTCAATATTCGCGATTTTGTGGAGAAAGGGTGAACCTCCCAATCTCTGTACTGTATTATGTATTGGGGAAAAAAAATGAAATTATTTTGACTATTCGATTACTTTCCCTTTAAACCATTCAGAATATTATTCCTTAGAAAGCTAATCTTTATTAAAACACACTTACCCATTTCTGAAAGTTTACCTATACTTCAGCAGTTACTGCAACTATATTATTATAAAAATTCATACATATGCTCATAATATAAGCATAACGATCATAATAAACGCAAATATGAACTGACCACGCAGAAGAGATTCAAATTATTAAAATCTTGATAGAAATTCAAACGTGTGCAGTATTTTTGGATGGGAGGAAAAGAATAACCGAATGTACCAGAATTTTCTACCACTTTCGCAATTCTTTGACAAATAGAACGACATGCACCTGTCTGTACTCTCGCCCGCACCAAAGGTTACGTTAATGCAGAGAAAGGGGGAAAAGCTATTTCCGAAAGTATGATTCACCATCTGAAGTTCTATCTAAGGAAGAAAAGTTGTTTATTTAGTTTCAGCTTTGGTGTGGAGAAAAAATGCACGTTCATTAAAAAAAAAAGAAAAAAAGAACACTAAAAACAACAAAAAAATAAAGAAAAGGGGCTTTAAAGAAAAAGCACCTATAAAGGGCCTTTATATTTTATTTTCATATACAAGGACTTATAAGCTTTTGTAAGGCCGCTATGAACCCTGTGGTTAGTCTACATCGATGGTAGGTCGGTCCAAGAGGCAACTACATGCTAAACTATCTCTGTATGGCTTCGCTGATTAGTGATTCGGTATGGCTACCGCTGGTATTCGGAGAATAAAGAACTAAATAAAGGAAAAGAAAGAGACTTACTAATCTGGGGGATTTTTCATTCTAATTTTGAACAGACTGCGTTAAATTTCCATAATAGAATCTTTCTTCACTTGGGTTGGTAGACTGCAGAACTTTTAATCCTATTCAATCCAGATTGGAAAGTGACAAAAAAAAAATCTGTTGATTGTTTTGCAGCGAACTGTAATGGTTTCAATATTCGCGATTTTTTGGAGAAAGGGTGAACCTCCCAATCTCCGTACTGTACTATGTATTGGGGAAAAAAAATGAAATTATTTTGACTATTCGATTACTTTCTCTTTAAACCATTCAGAATATTATTCCTTAGAAAGCTAATCTTTATTAAAACACAATTACCCATTTCTGAAAGTTTACCTATACTTCAGCAGTTACTGCAACTATATTATTATAAAAATTCATACATATGCTCATAATATAAGCATAACGATCATAATAAACGCAAATATGAACTGACCACGCAGAAGAGAATTCAAATTATAAAAATCTTGATAGAAATTCAAACGTGTGCAGTATTTTTGGATGGGAGGAAAAGAATAACCGAATGTACCAGAATTTTCTACCACTTTCGCAATTCTTTGACAAATAGAACGACATGCACCTGTCTGTACTCTCGCCCACACCAAAGGTTACGTTAATGCAGAGAAAGGGGGAAAAGCTATTTCCGAAAGTATGATTCATTCACCATCTGAAGTTCTATCTAAGGAAGAAAAGTTGTTTTATTTAGTTTCAGCTTTGGTGCGGAGAAAAAATGCAACGTTCATTAAAAAAAAAGAAAAAAAGAACACTAAAAACAACAAAAAAATAAAGAAAAGGGGCTTTAAAGAAAAAGCACCTATAAAGGGCCTTTATATTTTATTTTCATATACAAGGACTTATAAGCTTTTGTAAGGCCGCTATGAACCCTGTGGTTAGTCTACATCGATGGTAGGTCGGTCCAAGAGGCAACTACATGCTAAACTATCTCGGTATGGCTTCGCTGATTAGTGATTCGGTATGGCTACCGCTGGTATTCGGAGAATAAAGAACTAAATAAAGGAAAAGAAAGAGACTTACTAATCTGGGGGATTTTTCATTCTAATTTTGAACAGACTGCGTTAAATTTCCGGAATAGAATCTTTCTTCACTTGGGTTGGTAGACTGCAGAACTTTTAATCCTATTCAATCCAGATTGGAAAGTGACAAAAAAAAATCTGTTGATTGTTTTGCAGCGAACTGTAATGGTTTCAATATTCGCGATTTTGTGGAGAAAGGGTGAACCTCCCAATCTCCGTACTGTATTATGTATTGGGGAAAAAAAATTAAATTATTTTGACTATTCGATTACTTTCCCTTTAAACCATTCAGAATATTATTCCTTAGAAAGCTAATCTTTATTAAAACACACTTACCCATTTCTGAAAGTTTACCTATACTTCAGCAGTTACTGCAACTATATTATTATAAAAATTCATACATATGCTCATAATATAAGCATAACGATCATAATAAACGCAAATATGAACTGACCACGCAGAAGAGAATTCAAATTATTAAAATCTTGATAGAAATTCAAACGTGTGCAGTATTTGGATGGGAGGAAAAGAATAACCGAATGTACCAGAATTTTCTACCACTTTCGCAATTCTTTGACAAATAGAACGACATGCACCTGTCTGTACTCTCGCCCGCACCAAAGGTTACGTTAATGCAGAGAAAGGGGGAAAAGCTATTTCCGAAAGTATGATTCACCATCTGAAGTTCTATCTAAGGAAGAAAAGTTGTTTATTTAGTTTCAGCTTTGGTGCGGAGAAAAAATGCACGTTCATTAAAAAAAAAAGAAAAAAAGAACACTAAAAACAACAAAAAAATAAAGAAAAGGGGCTTTAAAGAAAAAGCACCTATAAAGGGCCTTCATATTTTATTTTCATATACAAGGACTTATAAGCTTTTGTAAGGCCGCTATGAACCCTGTGGTTAGTCTACATCGATGGTAGGTCGGTCCAAGAGGCAACTACATGCTAAACTATCTCTGTATGGCTTCGCTGATTAGTGATTCGGTATGGCTACCGCTGGATGATGCACCTGATACTTAGGTTTATCTTTAATTTTAGCATTCTGTTTTGAGTCGCTACGAAAAGGATTGGCATGGAATTGTAAGCGCCAGGAGTGACAACTACAAATACTTTCGAGTTGAATAAAAGAATCTTTTCTCCCTTTCCTACATGTTGTTATTGATACAACTGAACCTAACGAATTGTTGCTTCACAGTTCAAGTAAAGATCTAACCAATAAAAAGAAGTTTATTTTAGCTGAAATCTTACAGTATTCATTTTGTCGATAGGCAAATGAATACAAAAATGGCAATGAGTTTTGCTGTGAGACTACACTACAAAATTAACATATACATCTGATCTTCACTAAGAAAGAACACGCCTGCATAGTATGCACAATAAAATCAAATCCCTCTATGGAGCTGGTGTCGACGAAACTTGTGATGCTGAGGAGGCCACACTAAATGTAAGACTTTCTTTAGCTATGGTCATTACATCTGTTTGAGCACCAGTGTAGAGTCTCACCTTTTGGGGAAGCATGACCTAAAATGAGACTCAGGCTGAAACTAAGCGGCTTAGTACTTAGACCAAGAAAAAGACAAACTATACGAAGGGTGTAAAAAGACCCATTTATTAAAACTCAGTAATTTAAGAGAATGTAATTTTGCTTACAGAACCAGCCAGTGGTTATGAAGTAAAACAGTAATTAATTCAATTAAAAATGTAAGTTAAGTTAGCCAAAGGCTACACAGAATGAATAATGCACAATTTGGCTAAAAGCTATGCTGACGTGACAAGCACTAACAGCAAGACTAATGCAACGTCACAGGCAGACTGCTATCGAAGAGTTTCTACTTCAGGGCTTCAGCAGGTGGAACATGCTGCAATTTTATAACCTAAAAACCTTCCTTTAAATATTATCTCTTTCTGCCTCATTTGAATAGGCACAGAATAAAATTAGCATTCCGGCAGGAAAATGGAAAAGGAGAATGAGAGTAAAGCTAATTAACATAAAATAACAGGTTAGATAAAAACAAATAAATCTAGACAAACGAAATGAAGAATTAAGTGGAGTATTTACATATTAAACTCAAATGCTAAAAAACAGTTGTAGAAAACAGAAAATTATATTTAAAGGTAGCCGAAGGTAATACAGGTTTCCTCCATTTTGCAAAAGATGTGTAATGTAAAATTTTTCAAAAGAGCACTCTGACTTAGAAGTAATGCCAGTAAAAGACAGTGCGTTAACCTGAGCTGTCAGATATTTGTTTTGGGGAAATTGAAGAGACTAGTGGGTTGGATATAGACTTTTATTTGAGTTTTGTGATGTCTATGGGTTTTCATCTACCTGTAATGATTTTGACTGCTAAACTTAAATGCTTTTTAGCAATTAAAGAGACATTTTTCTTAAGTCATTGTATAAAACAAAAGCTGAGCCATATTTTCCCTATTTAACCCCCTTTTCTTTAATAATAGTGAAAATTCGCATCATATTTCTTTTGTGAACCAAAAAAGGTATTAATTTACTTTTTTTAATTAAAAATGATAAGTTAAAAGGTTTTAATTTTATTTACGCTAACTTTCATAAGGTAGGAAATAACTGGAAACAAAATACTGTTAGCTTACTCTCATCTCATCTTGCTTGTCATAAAACACATTTCTTTTCAGAAACAGTTCAGGTTCATCTGCAGTAAAAAAAAAAAACATAGAAATGCATCACATTTACTGCACAATTAAGTACTTAACTTACAATAAGATGCACAGCTTTTTTTCTTCATATAAGAACAAATATGTTGGAAGACAAATTCACTCTAAGAACAAATATAGGAGATAAATTCACTCTGAACTTGTATAATATTTATTATTATTGGCAGCACTAAAATTATATTACATGGGATGGCAACAGTCATTCTTTGTTTAAACATTGTTCTTACAATGTAAGCTTCACTTCAGCTTCAATTTTATAATATTTACAATAATTTAGTCAACTAAAACTAATTTATACTTTATTTTTTGCAAAATGGAAACCCTTTTGAAACCAGAAATATTTGATGTTGACCCTGCACGTGTTGGAGCAGAATCTAAATGGAAACACTGGAAAAGAAGTTTTTAAAATTTTCTCACACAAGTAAAAGAGGCAACTAAAGAAAGAAAACTACAGCTGTTATGTAATTTAGTACTTGTATTGTTTATCAATATATTAATGATTCACAATCACATGATAATGCAATTAATGTTCTAGATTCATTGTACATTACTAAAAGAAATGAAATATTTGCCCGGCACTGTTTAGCATCTAGATTTCAATAAATGGGCGTCTGTAAATGAATATTTACAAATATTAAAACAGTTGAGCAAGGATTGTAAATTTAAGTCTGTTACTGCAGAATAATATAAAAATGTGTATATTAGAGATGCATTCATCCAAGGTTTAAAGAATCCATGCATTTGAGAATGGTTATTAGAAAATGCCAGTATTTCGTAAGAAAAAGCTTATGATCAAGCTAGAGCATTAGAACTTGCTGAACATCATTCTGCCTTATATTTAATATCTTCCTCAGCACTGGTAGCTGCCAATGAACAGTGTGAGAACAGAAATGACAATAGTGAACAATTGCCAGTAGTTGCTCCTATTTGATCCAGAAATTTTTTTTTTCCTGGAAGAGACCTTCATTTACAAAGTGTTTGCCCAGCTAAGGATGCAATATGTCGAGGATGTGGTAAAAAGTCCATTACCATGCAAATCCAAACTTGTAAGCAGTACTAATTTCACAGCGGCAGTTTATACACTAGCTTCAGCTTCAATACGTCCTCACTGTCTTGAAAGGTCAATAGCTACAGGCCTAGTAAATGGAGTTCAGCTGAATGCAAGAATGAAGCTGAACATAATAACTAGGAAAGAGTTATGGCTGCTGCTCAGAAGTATAACCTAACCCTGAATGAGGAAAAATGCATATTCTCCATTAAATCTGTTAAATTGTTGGTCTACTCTATAGCTAATAATAAAACCTGATCATGAAACCACTAATAAATTTACCGATTCCTAAAGATGTAGAATCTCTATGGCGAGCAGTGGAAATGTTTGCTCATTATTGCCATTGCATTCCCAATTTTCTGACAAGATTCACCTCTTTTAACTAAGGGATCTTTTTCCCTTAGTAAAGATGCCAAGAAAGCCTTCAGTTCTCCTAAGAGAGATATAGCCAAAGTTTCTTTAGCTGCAATTTGAGTATATTACACCATTCAGTTGAAATTGATGCTTCTAAATTTGCAATAGGCACAACCTTGACTCAAGCTGGTTGTCTTATAGCTTTCTTCTGTAGGACTCAACTCTTCAGAATGAAAACATTCTTCTATTGGAAAAGAAGCATATGCTATTGTTGAATCTTTACAAAACTGGATACACTATTTAATTGGAAGGCACTTTGAAGATTTTACTGATCAAAGATCCATGGCATTTATGTTTGATCTCCAGTAAAATTAAAAATGAGAAAATTATGCATTGCAGTTTAGAAGTTGCTTGTTTCAAATTTGATATTATATAACTAGGAAAATGGAAATAAAAATGAAACTGCAGACACTTTATCAAGAATAAATGAAGCTATAAAAGCACAAACAGATTTAAAAGCACTAAATGATGAACTTGGTCATCCCGGAACAACTCAAATGTATCACTGGATAAGATCTAAAAATTTGCCTTTTTCACTATAAGAAATTAGAATAACTAATAATGTACATGCAGCAGTGAAGGAAAACCTCTTTTTTTATAGATCTGAAGGACACTTAATTAAAGCAACTGCACCTTTTGAAAGACTAAATCTAGATTTCAAAGGTCCTTTACCTAAGGCTTCCAGGAACCATTTCCTTCTTAGTACTGTAGACAAGTTTTCAAGATTCCCTTTTGCAATACCTTGCTCTGATATGTAATCTGCTACTGTTATTGCTCATCTGCAAAATATTTTCTCAATTTTGGAGATGCCAGCCTATATACATTCTGATAGGGGATCTTCATTTATGTCTTGTGAATTAAAATGCTTCTTAACTTCACTTGGTATAGCAACAAGTTGCACACCTGCATATAATCCTCAAGGAAATGGCCAAGTAGAGCGGTATAATGGAATCACATGGAAAACCATCCAGCTGGCACTAAAATCAAAGAACATGGCTATTGAATGTTGGGAAGGTATTCTGTAACCTGTTTTGCATTCGATCCTGTCACTCTTATGTATAGCAACAAATGCTACACCATACGAACGTGTGTTCATCCATGATAAAAGATCATATAATGGACGTTCTTTACTTATGTGGTTAACACAACCCGGAACAGCATTAATGAAGAACCATACACAAGCTGCTTAAATATGAGCCTATTGTACAGGAAGTGGAGCTCATTGAGGCTAACCCTGATTACACTTGTGTTAAATTTCCAGATGGTCATGAAACCAATGTTTCAATACAATATTTAGCACCCAGAGGAGATACACCTATGTATGTCCATGATATCGAGTTGGATGAAAACAAACAACTTTCAGATTCTTTTGCTCAACAGAATGAAGATTTGGCCACCAAAGCTCCTGAATCCATATTGAAAACTGTAAGAAAATCGACAGAAGAGGATCCCCAAGGTAGTGATTTATCGTGCCCTAGCAGACATGAGGATTTTAAAAAAGATTTCAAATGATAACTTGCATGAGAGTGAATCCTTGCATCCGAAAAGACAAGAGATGTCAGACTTCTTATCTGACAGACTATGGAACAACTTAATAATCTTTGGGAGGGTTGAATGTGGCATAATATTTATTATTATTGGCAGTACTAAAATTATATTACATGGAATGACAACCATCATTCTTTGTATAAATATTGTTCTTACAACGTAACATTTGATGTCCTGCTTTATGCGCAGTTTTAGTTGATTAAAGCTCCATTTCAGCTTCTTAAGAAGGAAAAGTTTGGCATGACCTTCACAAGCAATCTGAAAGGGTTTGCATTTGTTAGTGTGGTAATCATTGTAGATCCCACAGGATTCTAGTTGCCCATATTACATTAAATGTTCTCAGTGTATTCATCAAGAATTTTCAGCAGACATATTACACAGCAAAAATTTATCTTTATTTCAAGACTTCCAAGATATGCGTACTACTACTGGAACAGCCGGTCTCTCTTCTCTCTCTGCACTTCTACTATGGGTTTCCATATTAATTGGCAGACACTTGGGGGTGAAAGGTGCACTCCCTATCAAAATCACCACAGAGTTCCTCCCCAGTTCCTTTGATGGCAATTCAAAGCAACATCAGATGATGAAATATTTCAAAGGATCTGTGCTTAACAACAAAATTAGGATACAAAATTAGAAAAATCAAAATGAGATTCAACATTGTGAAAAGGTAATAATGAACCCATATAACAGTGAAATATTAATAAATATGTAAAAAAGCAAATTTTTAAACTGTAATGTAAGAAGCAAGTTTTTTTGGGAATTGAACATGCCTTCCCGATCTTGTGACAGTTTGTGTCTTAAAAGTTGGCAAGATCAAATTTATTTTGCTAAACTGTCTCTCTGGTTTCAGACAAATCAGAGTCTGAAAGCATAGGGCGGTTTTACACAGTCTACAGACACATTAGATTTAAGACCATTTATTTCAATTGTGAAAGTTTTGTCTGTTCTGGTAAGGACTTTGTGTGGACCTGACACAGCGGTGGCTTTACTCGTTTGATGCGTAAGTACACATGTGTACATGATTTTATGTTAAAACGTGCATAATACTTATCCTGACAATGTGCCTTTTGGGTTTTTTGTTTCATTCTATGCCAGTGATTGGTGATGAATTGAGTGTCACATGAAGACATTTGATGATAGGCTGTTGTTATTCTGCTTGTTCCCAATGCAGGTAAATTCTGCAAACATTGTGTATCTCATTTGAGAACCTTGGTCAGTTGTTATAACTGATGGGCAGCCAAAATGAGATATCCACAAGTTGAAAATAGCTCTGCAAATAGTTGTTTCCATACTGGGGATAGATATGTCTTCAGGCCATCTGGAAGATCTATCTATTAGAGTCAAAAGGTACATGTTGCCTTCTGATGGTGGTAGCGGGCCAAAATTATCCATGTGGATTTACAAAACGTGCATCAAGAAGAGAGAATGTTCCCAGTGGTGTTTTACTAAGTCTGGTTATTTTTTATCACTGGCATGAATCACCCAATTTTTGATATGGCATTTCCTATCGGGCCATACATAAATGAGAACAAATTAGTTTTGTAGAAGCTGCAATTCCTGGACGTGCTAGAATGACTGAATTTAGATTATGCAGATGATTAAAGATGAGTCCGCAAAAGGAGTTTGGCACAAATGGACAAGGAACATCAGAAGAGATGTCACAAAGAATGTTACCATCAGAGTATTGGTACGGCTTGACTTTCAGCTTCAAAGATGATGTATTGTTTTTGAGAAGGTATTTTACCTTTAGACCATGCTGTTGAGCTTTGGAAAATATTTTAAATCCCAAAATGGAGATTTTATTATGAAATTAATTTCAATTCTCGAAAGAGCGTCAGCAACATTTTTCGAACTTTGCACATGCCTAATATCAGTAGAATACTGAGAAATAAAATCTAAATGGTCTAATTGGCGAGGTGAACATTTGTGAGGATTCTGCTTAAAAGCGTATATTAATGGTTTCTG